TTTTTTTTGCTTTTTTTTTCTCCAAAGCCTAAAAGGTCCGGTTTGCCAGGCCGGCTCGGGCGCGGCCGAGCGCGGGCGCCGACGCTCCCGACGTGATCGGTTTTTTTTTGGGTCTTTTATCGTGTTGCAGCGGCCTGCCCCGTTCTCTGCAGCGGGAATGGCCAGTACTCGAGGGGCCGCTGCCTGTGCTTCAGCGGCTGGAAGGGGACGGAGTGCGACGTGCCGAACAACCAGTGCATCGACGTCCACTGCGGGGGTCACGGCATCTGCATCGTGGGCTCCTGCGTCTGCAACACCGGCTACAAGGGCGAGAACTGCGAGGAAGGTAAAGGCAGAGGCCGCCGCCACGCATCCTCCGCTCTCCGGTGTCTCGGTGGAGGCCGTCTTGGTTTAAACCCGCCGTTGTGTTCGCGCTCAGCCCCACTTGAGCGGGGGCGTTTTCTAGACCGTGAATGAACCTGAGCGACGCGCAGTGGAGTGGTCCTAGTTCTGTGTAGCCCTTCTTGTTTTAGCAAAGTGAGGAGAAGCGCCGGTTTTAAGGTTTTAAAACGTATTTTGGGATTTCAGCTTGTGTTTTCAAAGTGTGCGATGCTTTATCTTGGCTGTTAAGGAAAGTCTATCCCGTAGGAAGACAGTAAGATATGTGAAAGCTTTTGAATTCATTTTGCAATGTCAAAGCAGTGTTCAGGACCACAGAACAAAATGTACCGTGCATACCTTCCAGCACTTGTCTTTATTTATAGTATGGCATATCTGAAGTTACGACCTCAAAATTCAAAAGGTAATTGCGATTTTCCTCTTCACAGAGCAGATGATTGCTTTAAGTAACTTATCGATTTAAACTAATTTCTTTAAATTTACGGTCCTGCATTGCAGCAGTAAATAGGGTTGCTGACAAGAGTTCTTTTTAAAAAAAAAATAATTCTAGATGTAATCGTAATATTCCTAGAGATCCTTCGCAAATAATTTCGCCAGGAAGAGTCTCATCCTTTCTCCTCAATAAAATTGATTTTATTGATCCCCACACAGAGAGTAACGTAATTTAATCCCCAGAATGAAAATTTCAGGCTGCTGACCTTACATGTGTAAAAATTTATTGTGTCAAATGAGTAAATTAAATCTCATCATCTCGAACACATTAAAGTGAATTTAGAGGCATTGGAATCCCACCATCTCAGAGCTTTTCAAGCTGTAGGTTCCCGTTTCCCATCTTCAGTAATGCGTCCAGGGGGAATACATTGTACAGCTTAACACTTTCAATTAGCAGGTGTAGGAAATCATTGCATGTCCTAGTTTGTTTCCTAAATCACTGACAGTGACATTTTAACAAAGACTGCTTTAATAAAATTACAATCAAGAGTGTTTCCAGTTATGTTTGACTAGAGTGAGATTTGATCAGGCTGCAACGTTTAGTCCCTAACGGTATGTATGAATGTAAAATATGTCAGTGGAACAGGAAGGAAAGTGGAGTGGCTGCAGATCTGAATGAATCACGATATCATTTCTACATATTTTTTGAAGGAGTCAAGTCAGTACCGTTGGGATGACTGTACAGTTATATGTCTGCAATGTGTATTGTAGCTTGTCCTGCACTAACAGTCAACAAGGGTGTTAACAAAGATGTATAAAATATAAGACACCTTAAAGCTAAAGGGTGGAGGAGTTAAAATTGGTGTCCTGGGGGGGGGGCTTGTACAATCTGGCCTGTAAATTCATGTATTATTCTTCTCACGGTCTAATCCTGCCTTTTCCTAACGCGTCAGTGGATTGTTTGGACCCATCTTGTTCTTCTCACGGGGTCTGCATCCACGGAGAGTGCCACTGCAACTCGGGCTGGGGTGGAACCAGCTGCGAGATACCCAAGACCATGTGCCCTGACCACTGCTCCGGCCATGGGACCTACCAGGCCGAAAGTGGCACTTGTACCTGCGATACCAGCTGGACAGGTCCGGACTGCTCTGTCGGTAAGGATTGCCGTCTCAGCGGCGTGCTTTCGGATTGTCACAAGCCCACTCATTACGAGCGAAGAAGAAGTTGGAAGGAGGTTCTGCTCCTAAATGTCTTAGCTTCTCCTGTTTCGCGTTGTTTTTTTCCTCCAAAAATACTTTTTTAATGTAAGGCTCGTGGCTTAAAAAAAGGGATCTCCAGCTACTGTCTGTTTAGAGCGAAATGAAGTTTGACACATGATGGGCACTCCCAAACAATAATACAGAGGAAAAGTGCTTAAATTTCTGTAAACTTTTATGATTCAGCCAAATACAGAAACACATCCAGGTGTAAGGAACAAAATCAGTTAATTATGAAATTTAAGGCTGTAAACAGTGGTGTTTATAACTGCTACTTTCACACATCTTAACTGATATTTTAAGTCCACTTGATAAACAGCCTGGGAAAAAAAACACACAGTTTGTGTTCTGGCCATGTTGTCTCACCACCTGAGCATCTTTTCATCTTCACCCAGCAGTGGAGGTTTTTCTATTAATTAGCTCCGCAATTCCACTTCAATTAAATGCACTTTAATTAATAAGTGCATGGCGTGGATCGACAAAACCCTGCTGGAAGCTAGTGTGCTAAAAGCAGATAAACACCTTTGCCCTAATGAAAAATTGATTACATTGATTCACAAGTAAAAAGGGACCACAGAATCAAACGGTCTCTTCCCAGAGCTGAGTTAATATTCCGGAGCGCTGAGGTTAATCAGCCCTTCCAAGGTCTCTTAATCGAAAACTAGACTCAGAGGGGGATGGAAACTGTCCTATAAAAATCCAACTGAATCAGTGGAAATGAGAGAACTCTGTCCCTCAGAGTTCCATCACTTGTACACTGATACACAGGTGTTAATCCTGCTTTTTCTTCTTCTCTTCCCCTTTATGATTAACAACCATCAAAAACGTTTAACTTCATTACGTACTGTGTACTATTCCTATTTTTACTGTCTTGGTTGTTTCAGACCTACCCACAGTCAAAAGTATAGTTGATCTTTTGTTTTTAATTTAAATGCTCCCAAGATAAATAAGAGAATTAATGTTCTGACTAACTTACTTATAACTTTGTGCAAAAACAGCATTTTCTTCAGGGGGTGAAGTCTGAATTAAAAATCAATATCTATATGCAAGAAAAGATTGTTTTGTATTGATACATTAGCTTTGGTTTTGCTTCTTAGACAAAGGGATGGCTTTTGATATTTGATAGAATACACAAAAACCAAAAATAATTTAGCTCATTCTTCCATTCATAAAAAATAACAATGAAAGTGTAGGTATAATTTTAAAAGCAAAATCCTGTATGACATTTAATAACTGACATCCTTAGAGCACTGTGTATACAGTTTTCAGTTGTCTACAGGATTCGTTTTGTGACTATAGCTTAAGCACCAATAATCTGTCTGAATGCAGGGTGCCTCCAATATTTTGTGTTTATTTTCTTTGCTCCCAAGAGTAATTTTAATTATGTTTACTGTTTTCTTCCTTGTTGTGGAAAGAGCAGTACATCCAGTTAGATAATTGTCATAGCGCTGAGATTCAACTCCTTTTTCTCCGTTATTTATCAGCCAAAGCCCTTTGGTCTGTTGGCTCTTTTAATGTGTGAGGGGAAAAAACAGTGGCAGAAGTTTGTAAGTACTTGTGATATAGGGTAAAAAAGAGCCTTCATTCCACAGCAACAAAATGAAGACAAAAAACAGCACCCAACCAGAAACATTGCTGAACTTTTTTTTTTTATTTGCTGACTGGTAAACAAAAGAAGCAATTATGTCTTGCTCTCGAGCTATAGGCTCATTAATTTCAAGGTACAGAGAGTTGGCAAGCTTTAAGCAAATTTTTATAATGACAAAACTACACAGAAGGTACGTGTGTGACAAGAGAACGGTATGTGTCCATAAGTACGAAAACAACGTTGAAGTTCGATTCAAATTAAAAACTAAACTTTTTTGTTTGGTTAAGAGCAGGCTAACCTCTTTCCTTTCATTTTTGCATTTCTTTGTAGTCTTCTGAATCTTTTAATTGAATCTGTCAACACAAATGCCGCCTAAAGCTCTTGTTTCGTAATATCAGAATATTCATTTAAAATCTTATTTTGTTTTTTTTTTCTTGTCTTTTGAATGTTTTCTACCATTGTAAAGGCTCAGTAAGTAAAAAAATGAAAATGGTCAAAACATTATACCAAGTTTTAAAATGATTTTTTTTTAAGCTGTCAAAGTTCTTCCTGGGAAACTTAATGAAGTCAAGATCAGTTCTCTCCTTAAAGGCCTTACAGTACCATTTACAATATATCAAGTCTGTGTCAGCGCTTAGTTTAAGGGAGTATTTCTCAATCTTTCCATTCCGCAGCACACTTACTTAAACATTATCATTTTTCCTACATACTGCCTCCTTACCCACACACGTACCGACACATCACCAACCCAAAAACATTATTCTTAATATTCTACACACAACGTGTCTCAATGTTTAATCTAATTTTACCTCAGAGTGCTCAGTCGCCTTATCCTGGCAGGGAGTGATGACAGAGACACAGAGAGCTCATGCTGCGCTCGCTCTAAGACATTTCTCTATTTTATTTGTACTTTTTATGTCTGACAGACAGGAAAAACTTAACTCCCCCCGTGAGCCGACATGCTGTAGAATGTATCCTCCGTCTCGAGTACATACGCCAACAACGCCCAGCAAAACGAATTAAGCTTCACCAGTATCTGAAATATCTGTTGTTTTTTTTTCCCTCTGGCTTTTCCAAAACGCAGCGGCACAACGGTCGGGGGAGACCGCTGTAAAACGGGTGTAGGATCTGGGCCGGGGTGGTGGTGGGGGGGCTGTACAGGAAAGAGTGGGAGAGCATCCACGTGTACTGAGAACTGAAAAGTCAGCATTTTAGGTAAGGTGTTCAGAAGCCATTCCGAACAATGACTCCGGGACCGCCAACATAAAAAAAAAACAAAACGGACTGGAGCATCAGTCCATCGGTCATAGTGTCATTCTGTCTGAAGGGAGGAACGCAGGTCGTTTCCCAGGCTGGAGGGGCGGGCACTGCCGCGAGGGTCGACTCTCCCGCCCCCCGCGCGCGCGAGGTGTGTCGCCCCGCTGGCTGTCGCTCGGCGCCCTTAACCCTGGTGTCTCCCCCCCCCCCCCACAGAGGTGTGCACCGTGGACTGCGGCTCCCACGGGATGTGCATCAGCGGGAGCTGCCGCTGCGAGGAGGGCTGGACCGGGGCGGTGTGCGACCAGAGAGCCTGCCACCCGCGCTGCTCCGAGCACGGCACCTGCAGAGACGGGAAGTGCGAGTGCAACCAGGGCTGGAACGGGGAGCACTGCACCAATGGTAGGCCTGCCGCCGCTGGGATCTGCGCCCCTCGCGCGTCGCGGCCGGCCGGGAAGGCCTCCGCTGGGAAGGACGGTCGGTGTGACCGGTGGCGGCTCCTGGCCGTGCCTGTTCCTAGCCTCCCATGTGGAAGGTGTTTGTGGCCTTTGTTGTCCTTTTACCCCTGTAGGTTTCTGCTCGGCTATATTTACCTTCGCTCACAGGTGGGTCAAGTCGGATGACCTCAGTGTAACTCTTAGAATCAGGTTTCTAGCCTTTTTCTCGTGTTTTTTGTGATATTTAGTGGGGGTTGGCAAAGGCAGACCATAGAAGAGCATAGATACGATTATCCACCTCCCCCAGAGTGGCTTCCCTGAAAGCTCAATTCCTACTGTCTCTTCTCTGTGCTCCTTATGGACAGAAATACAGCTCAGTTACCTAAAAATAGCTTCAAAACATTGCTATATTAGTCAACAGGAATAATTGTGAACCCATTCTCAAAAGCAAATGGGCTTTTGTATCAAACATCTTTTTGTTGCACTAATTTTCATCTATTTTGCACTAATATTACATTTCATTTTCTCCATTAGGTACGTTAGTGGTAATCCTTTGCGGTATTCTGAATTTAGACTGCTTTAAACACTGACTTGTTTATTGAGCTACATTGATTTTCATGTTCATGTATTCGGCCAATTCAAATGGAAATGTGGCCTAGGGGAGTTTCTAATTCCTTTAAGCTACAAGAAAGACTGGCTATTTGTTTTCATTCTGATACACCGGTGAAATGGGAAAAGAGATCGTTAACAATCACAAAGATATGCCTTGTTTGCTTAATCAGAAGTTGCTGTGTGCATTCCTTTAATAAACTCTGGGGTTGCTTGGAGCACTGGATCAAGACACTGAGGGGTTGAAGAAGATTAGATCATTATAGTAGTTAATTGCACTTAGAAAAGTCCTGCAAACTGCAAGAAACTTCCACTTCATCATGTCGGACTTCTTTTTGTTATAATTTTGTAAACCACTGTGGCTAAGATGTTGTCTCCAGACCGTGTTCGGTTCTGGTTTAAAGGCAATCTGAAAGTGAAGAGTACTTCTCCGAAGTCCTTTGTTGTGCTCATCACTATAAGGAGGTTTGGGAACGTGCTGTGAGAGTAGCAGTCTTTCCAATCAGCCAACCCCCCCAAACCATAATTGTCCCCTGAAAAAAAATGAACCTAAAACTTGACTGATGCTTCCTGTCTTTTTAGCCACTTAAGACCACACTGGATTTTCCTTTTAGTGATTGCTTTAATTGCTCATGGACACCATGTATCTTTCCAGACAACAAAGAAAACTCCTTTGCTTGACTTTCAAAGAAGAGAATTTCGGGCCACTTGCTTTGATCTTGCTCTTCGTGCGTAATGTATGGGTAACCCATCATAGTGGTGACAACTTCAGTGCGTTAATTGAGATAATGAGATCTGTGCTCACTTTTGACTTTTTGACCCACTGTTTCACTACACTTCCCTAGGTAGACTGGGTAGTGCAAAAAGGAGGACAGCTTGAAATTTGCATAATATCATTCATATAGTTATGCCACCAGCAACTTGCCCCTCTCTTTGCCTTTAAATTCCACTGCAATTCAGCAAATTCCCTGGTGGTCTGTAATATAAATTCTCTTCAACAAAGGTGTGTTTGTGAAATTCATTTTACCTAATAGTCCCTGTTAAACTACGGGATCCCACTGAGACTCCAGTGTCTTTCTCTGAGCATATCTGGGAAATAAAGTAACAACTTAGAATGGAAAAAAAGGCACAAGAGAGATTTAAGAAATTCGCCATGACGATGTATCTCATATTCTCAAACCTCTCAGTTCCTACAAAGCTATCAGATCCTTAAAAAGGTATCCCAGTGTGTCTGTAGGAGTCAGGAAATTCCATTTCAAATTAGGTGAACTAGAGGACAAACTGAGCTTTTTCACTCAGGACAAGAAAAAGTGTGTTTGAGGCTTTAAATAACTTCCAAAGTGACAAAGCTGCTATAATCCAATTTCAAGCTACCTATAGAGTGAGTGCAGCACTGGCAATTTAAAAAGATTGCTTTTCAAACTCACCTATTGTTTGTTGGGGTTGATAGTCAGAACTTCTGTGTTTTCTGAAAATCTTTTTTTTATCCATTTAATTTGGCTACAAGAGCATTTGACTGTTAAAAGATGTCTACTAATACCTTGCATTCATTTGATTATCGGAATATTCCAAGTTAAAAAAAAACTAAAAGCAATCCTATATTAAGTAGATGATAATATAAAAGCCCTTGAAGACAAGTTTCTATCTTTTTTTGGCTTAGTTTTAGACTCGGCTGTAACGTTTGGGACGTTACTTGTATGAAGCTAAATCTAAAAATGTTCTGATTCTTTTAGACACAATTCAGATTTTTCTTTTTTGCAATACCAGAGATTGGGATTTTAGCTATAGACATCAGATAAAGATTCGAGGTTGAAAACATTAGACTGAAGCAACAGTGTAATATGAGAGACTCAAATCAAGAGTTTGGAATGATGTCGATCTGAGATTTGAATCTCAGTAAAAAAAAATAAAAAAATGTTCTTTCTGGAGGTTTGCTTGGGGAAACCTACAGTATAACGACATACAGTACATGGTGAGTGTGTACGTTATCCTGGGACCGGTGTCGGTGTCCTTGTGTTTTTCACTTTTCGGGGAGATTCAAGAGAAGTGTCTTAGCCTTTGTGTGGGGGTGTGGACAGGCATATTTTACTAACATTTTGCAGAGAAAATATCCCATCAACATTGCAGCTCTTAATGAATATAATGTTATGATGTCCCCACAGTGTGAATTAGTTTTTGTAGAATCCAAATAGCATCTTGTCACTCTTAAGAGTGCACAAAATCTTTGATTCAGGTTAATTTTCACCTTGGATGGAGTTGGGTTTTTTTTTCCCATGGAGTATAGAATAGTTAATAATTAGATGCCAGAAAGAAATGTGTTTGTGGATCAATGTGGATCATGACAAGCTACTAACAGTTGTATGTTATGCATTACGTTTTGGGAGACAATGAAATATCTTGCTCGTAATTTTCCCATTTTGGTTACAGTTTACAGAGATCCTTGAACCACACGTTTTGAAAAACAGTGGTTTAAAAGTGCATTTCAACATTTTTGCTGTTTTCTCTAGACATTAAGACAAGCTCTCTAAGACATTAAGTTCACATACTCTTAAAGTGTATTCTGTAGGGATATATATTGTATTTTTATGTGTAAACATTTACTTCGGAACATGTTGCATAATATATTTGTCTTAATAGTTAACTATATACAATTATTAAAGGTTTATATATTTTGTATTAATGTTTACGTTTTATTAATGTTAGATCTCTTACACTGAGAATAATAACTTTTTTATGTGAAACAATATCACAACTTGCAATTTTATCGCTGATAAAAAAAATAGAACAAAATAATGAAAATTTAGATCCTGTTTTTTTCTCTGGTCTCACACCAGACTATACAAGGAAAGAGTGTGTTGTTTGACCTTTTTCATAACAGCAATTTCGGTTAGGTTTTTAAAATTTTATTATGCTTATTTTTTATTCAGTTAGTTCCTGGACATCCTGTGTGTATTGCCTGCGTGAAAATCTTTTTTATTTCTGTATACTGTATTACTGTAAGTCCAGTATGTTCTTCCCATCTCTTCAGAGTAATACCTCCTTACAGACATTGCTATTTATCACTACGGGGTTTCCACATCTAAAATGCTAAAATAATTTCTCACATTTTTGCTGATTGCTTTATAAAGCTGTCTTCTGCATAGCAGGTATGAGATTTTATTTATGTAGAGAGCCAAGCTTCTTTATCCACAGATCTGTTCGGTAAACTCTTATTGTTTCTAAAGATTTGTGCATACTAACAGAATAGCTCATTGTAAAATTAGCATAAATGAATGAAATTCATAAAATATATTTCCTGGCTTGCCTCATGACAGTTTTTGGAATATAATAAATGCTTGCATGCATCTAAGTGACAGGAGACAGCGAAAGTACAATGATTCAATTCCTTGTGTGACTAGCATTCCATAATATGCATATTGTTTTGGACAAATTTGTAGAAATGTAAAAACATTTTTTTTCCCAAAGCTTTTCTCCTTTCATTTATGCTCTCTTAGAAAAATGCTAACCACCATCCTTAAAAATACTACAAGTGAAGCATTTTAAGCTCATTCTTTTGTGTGAGCATTTGTAAGTTCATCTTAAATCAACTTAAAGCTAAAAAAGCAGACAAAAAGGTTAGTACACTAATTTTGTGGTAAGAATATGATTTGTGAAAAATCAGCATTTCATCCCACAGCCTGTCTCCTCAAAATGTGCGCTGCATAAATCTTTTCTGTTTTCCAGGAAATCGCAGTAGCTATCATGTTGAGTTACTACTTTAAATACCACTTTTTTTTCCTTTAACTGTCTTACATGTAGTATCTTAGCAACCCTTTTTTTTAAACCCTTGAGTTATTAAATTTAATTTGCAGTTGCAGATGGGTAGATGGAAGTTCTGATTTCATCTGGACTGTTCTCCATCTTTTAATAACGAATTGTCCAATTATTTTCTCTAATTATTTGATTAAATGGGAGACAAATGTATAACAGCACCTAAAATAGTTTTTTTTTTTACTGACGTACACCCAGCTCAATATTATCTGATAATTCAAATTTAATGTTATTGTTGTGTGAGATTGTTCCATAGGCTTTGCTTAAAATTATTTTTTTTAATTGTAGGATCTTGCGTGAAATTGGTAATTGTAAATTTCCTCATATTTCAATTTATTCTTCTTGATTTTAAGGTGGAAAATTTAAAATTAATAAAAAACGCGAGTGGGCTCTTTTTTTATTTGAATTGTCAGATCTGTCAAAGACATGACTGAAAATGCTTCTTAATATCAAATTTCAGTTGTGAAATAGACACAGTAGATACTGTACATTCCTGAAATGTCCGCAAATAACAAAAAATATTTATTAAAGGAAGAACGCTCCAGTATCTAAAAGTATGTTTACCATGGGTAGGCCTAATAGTACACCATCCGCATCGGCATAAATACAACATTACAAAACTGTGTGACTGGAAAACTGTGCAATACTGTATTTCCTTTATTAAAAGGAATGTTATAAAAAATGAAACGTACAACAGCAGTCTTCTGGAAGATGTGAAGAAGCAGAAGAGGTGCAATTAGTAATAACGAGAGCAATTTTGAATATTTTGAATTAAGCCTCAGGCTGAAAAGCTTCGGGCTCTAGAGTGCTCTAGAAGCTTCGGGAACACAGGCTGGTCCTGACACGCAAAACCGCAACTCACATCAGTCAAAATGAATTGGGGTGCTAAATTGTTGAATAATCAAATAGTCATATATTGAATAATCAAATAGTTGCAGTACAAAAATCCTATCAGATTTACTTTAATTTGTACTTTGGACATTGCACATTTTTTCATTTTTTAAGAGGTTATTTACATGGAATTTTTTTTATTACTCTTTAATGGAGGTTTGTGGAATATAATGTTCTGTGAAGATTTTTAGTATGGACTAGGTTGAATGCAGTCTTCCTACCGTATTTTGGCCTTCCTGTCTTTTTCAAACCAATGACGGCAGGGCTCAGTGCAATAGGTCATTTGTTTGAGGGCCTCAGAAAAAATAACTGTGTAGTAAGCTGTAATGATGACAGTTGATTACAAAACAAAAACAGGTTTGTCCAACCTGCAGTGAACAGATAATCCCCAACTAAATGTCTTTGTCATTTTATTGTATTGCGTTAATGATGCAGAGTCTCTGCTTGCAAGATTAAAGTATGTAAAGTGCAGATTTTATTGCAGATATACCTGCAGCTATGGGCCAATAAAACCATGGTGATATAAATGGCAATTAAGAACTTCTAAATCAATGTGTGCTGTGTTCCTCTTCAGAGTGAGAACTGATTGAACTCTGTGGACATAATGCATAATTGTTCGTAGATTAATGCCATTTTTATCATAGCTTCTGGAATCAGCAGACAGATAATGAAGCAATGATGTCTTAATGGCGGTGATTAAGATTTCTTTTTTTTTTCTGGGTGTAGAATAAAACAGAAATAATTTAGTAAACTTTGTCGCCTCCAGCAGTGTATCACTCACAACATACCAGGGTTAAAGGATGATTGCGATTGTTTTCGTACCATATGTTTAATATCTGATTGCAATATGCCTCAAAAAGCATGACCTGCGATCTCCTCCAAGCTGCTCCTCATCTTGTGAATTATGTTAGAGCTTGTTACTGTGGTAAACAGCCTTCACACACTCTGGAGATTACAGTCATTACCTCTTGATGTGAGCATTGAATAACGCAAGGGAGAAAAATACACCTCTTCGTGTGCAAAGAGCGGCCAGGTGATGAACTGTGGGAAGACGTACAGGAAAAGAACAGGAATGACTGCCGATATAATAAGGCAACTTATAGAACCTAACATTTTCCAGCCGTATATGCAAAGGTGACTATTAGGAATTGTGTTAATGCATTTGAGACTGTATCATCTTACAGTTATTGGATCTTTATCCGGGGGGGCACTTTTGTTCAAAAAGGTGGAAAATGGTATGAATGATAAAAATGTGGAAGCTCAAAAATCTACAATTTATAACAGCAACAGGAAAAGAACGTTTCAAAATTAAAAAAAATAGTCACTGCAATAATTCATCACAGTATAGTAAACAAACCACTGTGATAAAATGTAGAGCTGGCCGGTGGCGCAGTGGTCTGCATTGCTGGGTTCGATTCCTGGGGTGCTGTCTGTGTCGAGTTTGCATGTTCTCCCCAGGTTTGCGTGGGTTTCCTCTAGGTGCTTCGGTTTCCTCCCACAGTCCTAGGACATACTGGTGGGCTAATTGGCCCTGGTGTGAGTAAGTCCGTGCCTGTTTCTGCCCTGTAGTGGACTGGCATCCCGTCCAGGGTGTACCCTGCTCTGCACCTGTTGCTTGCTGGGATAGGCTTCGTCTCCCCCATGACCCTGTTTTGGATAAAGCGGTTCGAAAATGGATGGGTATTTGCAATGTCGTTTTCTGAGCTTTTATAATGCATAATTAACTATCTGTGGCATGAGACATTGAGACGTTACCCAAAGGGCAAATAGAGCTAAATGCCAGATTCATCACTGGATGTTTAGATGCTGCTTGTAAATGCTTTCACACCTAGGCTTTTATGTAAGGATGCTGTGTATCGGTAAAGTACCATTTAAGAACTAATTTAAACAGAGTTGCTCTGTGCAATTCAAAACTAGTTACAGATTTTCTGAGTTACACCTGAAATGGCTTCTTTGTGGGATAAAAAAAATGGAACCAGAATATTTTATGTCCTACAGAAACAAAGACTATAATCAAAACGTATTTTTTCCCAGACTGATTGGTATAGTCAGCAATTGTTACTGCAGTTGAAAATGACCAAGGCATATAATAAGCGTTATGAGTTGGGCCTTACGTGAGCTTTAAGTATTCTCTGTTTGTAGCTCTTTAAAATAAAGCGAGTTAACATTCATATAAATTTGCTGCAAAATAAAGTGATTTTTTTTTCTTACCAAGGCTGCTCCTGTCTCATGAGTCCGTCAATTCTGCTCTTGTTTCTTTGTATGTCCTGTCGTCAGATTTCTGTCCTGTTAAGCACTGCTCTGAAATATTTGTTCTCTTTCTTCTTTTCGTTTCGAAGCTCACAATCTGGATAAACTAGTTAAAGGTACTGTGTTTTCTGTCTTTTTTTGCATTTCTTGTAACGCACCAGATTTTTCTAATAACATTTTTATCCCATTGAGATAAAATGTCATTTCATTTTTTAACCTGGTATTACAAGATAGCAGCTCACCTGTATGGGTTTCACTAAAGCCACTGCAGATCAGCAAATGTTCTAAACTTATCTTGTAGGCCATGAAGATAACCAATCACTTGTTGTTTCTCGATAAAATTAAAAAAATCACTTTCTGGGCTATCATTTTCTGATGCTTGTAGGCATCAAAATGAAAAGCAATCACTTTGTAACCACTTCCCTCATGAAAGAGTTTTGTCATTTATCACATGTGTGATATCTGACAGAGCAGTACATAAGCTACTGTACCAGTGCAATTGTACATTTTTAGCAATTTTCAGTTCCAAATATTTAAGATTAAGACACATATCACACAGATTTCTTATTAAATAAAAATACATTTAAAGAACATCTGAACACTGGTTCTAGTAATCTCTCTAATTCCCTGTCGAAAAACAGAAAACTACACACCAATGTGGAATGCATTACATTAGACACAAAAGTCTGTTTCAAAGAAAGCCTGTTTTTATTTCAAATGAAATTCTTTACTTACATTCAGATTAAAGGGTAAAGAAAGACTTGCATTCAGTTGTTTCCATGCTGCTACCTTCCTAAAAAGTCGCTAAACAACACAAAGTGAGAAAGGTATTTTGTTTGGGTTATATGTGAAATTTAAGCCAAAATTCCAAATCAACAAGAGTTATTATAGCTTTATTCCCTTAACACACTGCTTAGAAGCATTTTCAATTTTGTCTTATTTCTTTTTTTTTTTTGTCTGTATGTTTGTCGGTCTGAAACGTCATTTACAGAGATAAGTTCTGGATATGCCAGTATTTTAATTTTTTCCCAAATTTTCCTCCTTACCCATAAATGCAGACAAGATAGGATATAAAGGTAATGGCACAATAGCCCTAGGGAGATTGTCACAAACAATCACTCTCCGCTATCTGTCTTGAAGCACGGCGTGAACGTGTTTTTGTTCAGTCTATAAATGTTTTATTGTGGTCCTCCTGGTATTTTCATTCTTGTCCGTCCTAACTAGTCAAACACACACAGCTATTACGTTTTGTTGGAAATCCTGTCGGTCCTGTCCCATGCATTTGCAGCCTGATTCCTAATGTCTGTTAGAATAGATGCTCAGCTGCTTTAGTTATTTCCTCAGCTTCGCTTATTCCGTGAAAAGGAATGTAATTTCAGCATAAAGTATAGCTGTGGAAACAATAAAAAAATCACCCTATACTTTGTGCATTTTGAATGTGCTGTAACTTCACATGGATGCTGTCTGGAGGCTGGAGGGGAGCTACTTTATTGATATTTGACTCTGCCGTCTTCACAACAAGTATGTGTGGTTAAACAACAAGGGGTTAAACATTTGGTGTGAACACAAGTGACGCGAAATTAACTGAAAAGGCTGCAAACATAAGGGAAATGTTTTGGTTAACCAGACCCATACCAGAGCTGCAGAGTTAACTGTCCTTGTTGTTTATTAAGCTTTCACTGGAAGAAGACGGAATCTGGTTTGACCCTTACGATTTCCAAATGAGCAATTCCTGTGTGATGAATCCAAACTTTTTGCCTAATATAAACCTCCCAAAGAGAGAATAAAAAAAAAAAACTGCCATATCTAAACAGCCGCTGTTACATTCATGTGAAATTACAGTATCTGTGCATTGACCAAGGCCTGTCTGAAGTTCAATGTCAATATATGTTCACCAAATGTGGTTATTTTATTTTGAATCATGTGAATGAGCAGGATTTGCACATTGGCTTAATTCGCACAGTCCACGTCCTTGATGATTATTGATTTTTTCATTTTGTTTGTTCTAACAGAGGGCTGCCCCGGGCTCTGCAATAGCAATGGAAGGTGTACCTTAGACCAAAATGGCTGGCACTGTGTCTGCCAGTCCGGCTGGAGAGGGGCGGGCTGTGACGTCGCTATGGAGACCCTGTGCACCGATAGTAAGGACAATGAAGGAGGTGAGGGAAACGCCCGAAGTGGACCAAACAGAAGCTCATGGCTACGCACGAACACATACCTACAGCTTTTATTTAGATTCTGCCGGCCTACTGCTACTGTAAACACACACAGAACCTGTGCTTCCACTGTCCTATGGCTGTTGCATAGTTACGGCATAGCGTGTGGATGTTAATTATAGACTTGACCCTTTTCTGTCTTAAGTGCAGACAGTGTCAAAGGCATTAGAAATGGGGTTTCTGATCATAGAATTGTGCTTCCTATATGAGATTATTTAGCTGTTTATGGTCAGATCTGTAGGATGTTCATTAAGATAACTGTGGGTTTCATTTGTTTCTCTCTTTATTTGCTCGCCTGTGGAGAAAAGTGCAAACATAATCAATTGCAGGTGAAACCGCCTGCTGGCCCAGTGTGTGTGCTAGCCCACCGTCAGCTGAGCAGCCTCCAGGCTGTTGCAGGTTTACTGGGTTATCCACTATCTCTTTCTGATTACAACATTATCATCCCATGGACTGTTTCATAGTAACCTGGGAATTTACTCATCCTGCCAACTACCGAGGTGTTTCCAGATTCAGATAAGCTTAGATTGTTTTACAGGATGACCACTATCAGTGTGACCTGAAATACGAGGTGCTAAGATTATCCATGTTGCAACCACTTCCTGGTCTCCAGCTCCTGAGTTATAATAGTTTAACCCATGACACTTAATTTGGGAAATGACCTGGTGCAAATGCTTTTTTTTTTTCACTTCCTGGCAATAAATGGTTAAAAAAAAAGAGCAGTAATACCTTTATGTAGCCCCTCAATTTGTTTTCATAAGTAGAGGCCAAGTGTTTCATCTCCAGTCTTTTTCCATTAGATTCCGATTCTTACTTGTCTTGAAGCGCTAACATGCTCTCAGGGTATGATGGATGCTGAGGTAGGGGGAATCATTCTCTGTTACAGGGTGTTATTCCAAATAAATGACAGCTCTGATTTCTTGCTTCACTTCAGAAGGTCTTATCACGCATTCTCCTGGAATGTTAAACTTGGCTTTTTTTGCAAACGTCCATCACAAGATAGTGTAAGGGTATGTCTCTGAAGCTGTACTCTTTCTTATGTAGATAAGTAATATCCGAAGCATGGACTACCTTAAAGTGAAAAGCCAAGTAAAATACCACCTCTTCTCTGTAAAGAAACTACAGATTCCTGGCATGTGGGTAATGCTGTAATCAAGTTAGCGATACAAAATAACTTGAAGCTAGAAAAGTAAAAACAAAAGAAAAATGAAAAATGCCTCCTCAACTTATGAGAAGCGAGTTTCATAACAATCTGTCACTTCTTTAGGCAAGTCTCTGGTAAACGCCTGTGAAAAATAACAAACACTGTATTCCTACATCATGAACGCTGAAAATGAGATTCCTGTTCTGATTGATGTTAGTAGAGAGGCTTGTAAAAATGCATTTCCAGCTGATTAGTTCAGGGGGTGTCAATCTCATGCGGTTTTATGACCCACAGACTACACACCCAGACGTACATTTGCTTTTTATAAACTAACAAAGATGAATGACTAAATCTGAGTGAGACTAGATATTACCTGGGAGAGAACAAATCCTTGTGTAAAACGTTTAACCGCATGCCTGCCTGTTAAAATCATTTGTGTTCTTTCTTGATTATTCGGCTAACGAAAGTACATTTTGCAGCAGTATAGCACATAATCATTTTCCATTTGTCATTAGGAAATAAACAAAAAATGCAAGTAAAATGTCTCCAGATTAAATAAGATGGTTTTACCTTCTTTGTTCTTCAAAACCCACCCGCAAAATGAGTAAAGATTTTCAAAGGATGATTCACTGAATGTTGCAAAATGGCAAAACTAGAGAGGAGTGCAGCAAAACTGAGAACTTTGCAGAAGGGGCAGTGAGATCGTGGGGTAATACCCTGGATTCTTTCAAATATACAGCTGGAAGAGATCCTGAGATAAATCAGATACTAGCAACCAAATTAGCAAAGTGGGACAATTGGCCTTCTTTGCTTTGTAAACATTCCTGCTTTGGATTTGGATTACTTTAGCCTTAGCAGTATATAGTACAGTATGTTTATAACAAAGTATTTTGCATATCCCCGGTCATGATGACTTTATTAAAAATTTTACAAAGATTTCAAAAATGCTGTACGTTTCACAACTGCTTACACTTATATAGCGCTTTCCTGGACACTCCACTCAAAGCGCTTTACAGGTGATGGGGATCCCCTCCACCACCACCAGTATTCAGCCTCACCTGGATGATGTGTCTCATCCGAAGGACGGCGCCTTTTTAGAGTATAACATCCCCGTCACTACACTGGGGCATTAGGACCCACACGGACTGCAGGGTGAGCGCCCCCTGCTGGCCCCACTAACACCTCTTCCAGCAGCAACCTTAGTTTTTCCCAGGATGTACAGTATACAGAGCAAAGGTGTGTAGGCTGGATTTAAAAGAGCAACTGGTTTGTCTGCGCTCACGCCCGTGTCCAAGCCAGAGTCAATCCGGTATTCATGTGAGGGGCTCTGTGCCTGCAGATGGATTGGTTGATTGTATGGATCCTGACTGCTGCTTGCAAAGCTCGTGCCAGAACCAGCCATACTGCCGCGGATCGCCGGACCCCACTGACATCATTGGACAGAGCCAGCAGCCACCCCCCCAGCACGCCGCCAAGTCCTTCCACGACCGGATCAGCTTCCTCGTGGGCCTGGACAGCACCCACGTCATCCCCGGGGAGAATCCTTTTAACAGAAGGTGAGGGTGGTGCTCGGTAGGTTTTTTAGTTTTATTTTTGCCAAGCACCACCAAAATGAACCAGACATTACCCTCCTCTTCCGCAGTGCTGGTCATTTAACTGTAGTGAATGTTGTCAAATTAAAGGTATTTGGCAAGGCCAGAATACCTGTTTCATTCTGCCGAGCTGCAGTGGCAGAAGCTAGTGAATTTAAGGCACAGGGTGCAAATATTAGTCAGCTTCATAGCAACAGCAGGCCAATGACTTTAGAAAAACCCATATATTTTAAGTGTGTTGATATGTATGTATATATGATGTAGAGGAAACCTAGTTTTATTTATAATTAATATGTGGTCACTTAAATCATCTTCGTTTATTTTACATTTTTACTGAAATTCTAGTCCATGTCATGTTATAATGTTGAGTAAAGTCTTTCTTTGTTAAATATACCAAGTTATTTCCCCGTCTATTTTCCCTATGTGCTTAATTTGATCCATGTTAACAAAAAATCCAAAAAAATCCAAAAAGTACATACTGTGTATGTATCAGATCCAGTTTCATAGTGTTCTATGTGGTTCGTGGTTCCTTTGTGCAAAGTATGCTGACATCCTGTTAATAATGCAATCAGAACTTTCTGATTTATTTTTGCCAAATAAACTGAAAAGGGTATATTACAAGGTTGTAGGCCCTGGTCAGGACAGGACTGTAAGAACAGGCCATGTTGATTTTACCTATAAGTCTTTCAGAATCTGATTATGAATTATGCAGTCATATGTTCTTTTACAGGTTATATCCAGCCCACAGTGTGTTCTGTGTAGTGTTGTTTTTTCTCACTCAAATGTTCATTAATTTCCATAACCTTAAAATGATTGTGCTGAAATTCAAATGATGCCTCTTCCTCAGAGCTATGAAAGAATTGGAAGTTAATTATTGTAGAGGTTTGCTGCATTTTAACAAAAAGGAATAGAACAAACTGTATACACTTGTGCTCACAGCTATGTGTATACACCCATATTATATCTAGACCAGGAGACATTACACATGCAGGAGAACAGGACTGGAACAAATGCTGTTACACCCATGAGCCTGCAAGTGTGGGCTTGTTCTTTTCTGAAGAGAAAAAAAAAACAATTTTTCAAAGGTACATATAGGATAGCACTGAGCTAACAGCATCTGTTCATACCTTATAAAAATAAAATACAAAATATAAGGGTAAATAATGAAACAGGGGGACAAAACAATAAATAAAATGCATAGTAAGGATATGGAATTAAATTATGACAGGGCATGAAATTGTGACAAGAACATACAGTATGGACCATCAGTAAGTTGGAGGCTGGACTGTCAGTGGTTTATCACTGACCGTCTGAGGTGTTCACAGCAGGCTTTACAGACTTAACAGCCTCATACAGTCCCATGACTGATAGACCACAGTCTGGGAGGTAACAAATCCCGACGCCTAATCAAGATCAATGAGGAGGTCCAAGTGTGATGGACCATCTACAAAACTCCACTGGTACTGATTGATAACAACCTAAGTGCACAGTGCTTCACTGATCAAGTCCTAGATCTCACCTGCTGTCCTTTCAGTGAGTCCATCTTAACCTGACAACATGCCACCCATCCTCATTCTGCTTGTAGCTGTTAAGCCATGGTTGTCTTGCTCACCAGACTTGATTGCCATGAATATTTGTTGGATGAGTTGGGCTAATGTGTGGCTTCTAGGTCTCAAATGTGCAGTTAACAGGTACAGTGCTAATCCAGGCTCTGCAAGACAAATGCAACAGAGTCCCACAAGACAGATTTTGTTGGCAAAGAATAGTAACATTTGGAAACAGCACAGTTCCTTGTCATCGTGGTGCGAACAGCCACACTTTTAAAGCAGCCCAGTTTTTCTTGACCATTCAATGTGGACCTCTGTCAAGGAAATTGGAGAAGTCTTTACAAACTTCACAACGGTGAGGTCATTTACAGAGTAAACCACACATTTTTATGATTTAACAAGTGTTAAATCTCTTTTTTTTAAATGGGGGGGTGGCAGAAGATTATCCTTATTATGGTGAAGGGGAGAAGAGCAGTAATGGAAACTAATGATCTCTTAAATGTGTGAGATGTTCTGTGTATGGGTCATTACATGTCAAATTAACCGTTGGCCTTGGCACTAATATTTCACATTCTTTACATGCCAAAACTGCAAAGTTTAAAAGCTTTAAAATTCACACAAAGAATAAATCCCTAAAGACAAGGCGTTCCTGATGCTGGTTTAGTTAGGGCGCAAAACTCTTTTATTCTGAGGAAGAAGAATAGCTGTTGAAATTTTAAACAGCTTGCGGTTTGTCTTCAAAATTGGCATTATTTTGAGTGCGAGCTTGGAAAGCAAATATTCTTCAGTATGGGTCGTGGAAGGACAGCATCAACCGTAGGCTGAATATAAAATGAGGATTAGTGCTGATTTTCACAACAGCTGTTTTTAATCATTTGTTAAGGAATGCCCCCTGTTTGTCTCAGAAAGATTTAATGCAATATATAACATAATTTTGGAACATTCATATAAAAATTAAGACAAAATGGGTTCCATTGAAAGGTGTTGTTTTATGGAGACAAATAAACAAGTAAATTATTATTTTGTTTATCTTATACCAGGTAATTTATTTTTTGTTTACCAAAAGGTCAGGTCACGGTGGGTCATGTGGGCTCTGAAAGATTAATTGGGTGACTGGGACAAGAAACAGGCAAACCTTTTTAAGTGGACTGTTTGCATGAAATGAAAATAAAATATGAGGGGGTTGTTATACTTCTGTCTGCATGGAAGTGATGTGGTACGAGCTACTTGATTAGCATACTACAAAGTAGTAATGACCTGAAAATAAACCAGTGACTAAAAGCAGGTGTCTTATATCTTACAGCATAAAGGAAGATGATTAACGCAGAAACACTGGGGCTTGCTGTAATTTAGCAACATAAATGCAGTTAGGCACAGCAGTTGATTAAAAGTAGATGCACAAATGTTCCTTAACGCCCCTTTAAATCTTTCACTTGCCAACCCCAACAGGTTTACAAATTGCTTCACAATTAATTGGAATGCTGGGTTTTCTTAAAGCTGTTGCGGATTTTTTTTCTCCCCCACATACGTACAAAAAAGTATATAATGTGTATTTTTAAGCATTCATCATTAAAACGCTGTTCCTGGTAAGCCTCTGGAGAGTGTCATGTGAATTTAAAAGGACAAAATAATTTCAGAGCCACTTAAAGAGAAGGTGGGTGAGGGGTGGCGTGAGGGGGTAAGAGAGTTGGGAGGGTTCTTGTGCTGATTTCAGGAATCACAGCACGGTGCGTGTGTTTGTCGGGGCCATTATCGAGCCTGAGGTGGCCAGGAGAGAGAACAGATGTTAATTGCAAATTGTTTTGGTTTTGTCATTTGTTTTTTCTGCAGTCTGGTGTCCATCATCCGAGGTCAGGTTCTAACAGCGGATGGAACCCCCCTCATTGGAGTTAACGTGTCCTTTGTGCACTATCCCGGACACGGATTCACTGTCACCCGCCAAGATGGAATGTATGTTCTCTGGGCTGCTTTGCTGATTAATGGCAAGATGCATAATTTAATGCGTGTGCATTTTTTTTCCCCATTGTATTTGTATTGAAATACATTGATAACTTCTGACAAGTTATCTTAATTCTGGCGCTTGTGTAATGTACCAAATGTACTGTTACAGTCGTTGATTTATTTATTGCTGGATCTGTCGACTGTGATTAAAACAAGAGGGCGGTAGTTAATCTTAAAGCCTTTTTTAATTTTAGAACTTCTCCCTTTCCAAAAGCCATCAATTATTGATTTTAAAAACTTGATTGTGGGGGGGAGGGAGGGGTTAATGGATTGTTTTAGTCCAGGTCTAAATCTTGCTTTTCGAAGTTTGATAATCCCAAACATTTAAGATATAAATCTTAAAGATAAACTCATCGTCTTCTTGAAGTAAACTAAAATGCAAACATGTTGAAATACCAGTACAGTAATATGATGAATATATTTTAGAAAAACTGAAAAAATTGAAAGCTGATTCAATAAGTAGTAAATTCGCCAGGAATTAATCAGTTTGGATCTGGCAGTTCTTACTGGTTTCTTAAAAAAAAGTGTTATCACATGGAAGTATCTTTTCTCATTTTATGGTAAGTAATGTCATGGCTCTGACTAGAATACAACATCATTTTAAAACCTAAAGAATTCTGCTTCCAGTCAAAATGTAGCAAAATAAACTATTTTTAAACAACTAAGATATTCATTTTCACACCTTTTGAAGACTCAGCCTCATATGACTCAGTGGCGTGACGCTTCTGAAAAAAGCATACTAAACTGCATCAGTTACTATAAATGGACAGTGCTTCCATACATGTATCATTCTAGTTACTCTAAAGTAGGTGCTTTAAAAGTACATAAAGGATTTAGAAAATCATTCAAAATGTGAAGCAGCTTTTGAAAAGCAAGAGAGACTCAATAAAACAACAGCTGAACGATCAGTTTTTAAGTGTAGTTGATGCATCCAGATGTTCCATTGAGTAACCTTCCAGACAGAAGGTGTGAAGATTCACACTCGATAATCTTGTTTATCAGATTCCCATATGTACTCAGCTAGAACAGAAGACGAGCCACAGCATCACATTCTCGACTTGAGCAGGTGTGTGGTCCTGCAGCAGGAATGTAGTTTGAAGGAGAAATAAGAAAGGTATTTCACTGGCACTTGTGTGTTGTACAGCACACACTCATAGTTGAGTCCAGTCCCTGGATAATATAGCCATGTAAAATGTAGTGCATTACAGGCAGTTGTCAGTTTACACGGCAGATACAATTCCTAAAAATTCCAGCATGAATCCTGAAAAGATCTAACATCTAGTATCCAAGAGATATATGTGTACTGTACATAGGGGGAATACGTTCTTGGTTATTCCACTTCCAAAGACGCTTTAAAAAAAGGCAAGGCAGTGGCTTTAGAGAGTTCTGCTAAGAACTATATTTAAACTCAATGCTAACATTTGGCAAGTAAAATGTGAAGGGATAACTGCTATTAATGGTAATGAGTAGTGAGAGTTATTTGCCCAGTGTGGACTGTGCAGCTATTATTGTCCCTTTCACTCTCAGTGAGTCTTTCAATGGTACCTATTTTAAAATATCCGTGGTAATATGACAAATCAGTTTTACATATTGAGGTTTTTGGCTGATAATTCGTGGTATGCTGCTCGATTTATTAATTTTTCAGGGGGGGTAGCACAGTGATTAGCATTGGTGCCTCGCAGCTCTGGGGCCCCGAGGCCCTGGGTTCAATTCAGGACCTGGGGCGCTATCTGCGTGGACTTTGTATGTTCTCCCTGTGTTCTCATGGTCCAGTAGTCATCCTGGTAGATTAGGTGTGTATGTCGTGTGATGGCATCCAATCAGGGTGGATCCCACCTTGCGTCTGCTGCTCTCCGGGATAGGCTCCGGCTCCCCAGGACCCTGGACTGGATAAAACTGGTTAGAAAATGGATGGACAGAAATTTCAGAGATGAGGTGAATGGTGCCTGGAAGAACACTAAGACAAAGATTGCTAAAGCGATGCTATTCATCCCAGCACACAGCTGCGTATGTGCAGTATACAGTAGAGTATGTCATCTCCCATCACTCCCAAGTGGTATATGGTATGTTCAGGAGGTGCATTAAATCAAAAACACTCAAATTCAATTAGCTAAAATTGAGAACTGACTGTATTTAAAAGTGAGTTTTCTTGGACCATTGGGTAATAATGCATTTGTTCCTACTTTTGCCTGAATGCAATCATACTTTTTATGAAAAGGGGTGAGAAGGAATTTGGTGAAGAGGTAGGTTCCTCAAAGCGTTTACCCTGAGAGTTTTGCAAAGGGCAAAGGACTGGTAATTCATTCATTAGAAAATCATTTAGATCCTTGTATGCTAGGACATTCTATATTGTTTTTTTGTACAGTAGCCTTTTTTGGATTTTTTCACCTCTTCCACTGAAACACTGAAGGGTCAGTCAAAGTAAAATGCATTGCTCTTGTTTCTCCCTGTCCTATGTCTAGGTTTGACTTGCTGGCCAATGGTGGGGCCTCTCTGACTCTGAGCTTTGAACGTGCTCCATTTCTCACCCAGTACCGCACCGTGTGGATCCCATGGAATGTCTTTTATGTCATGGACACTCTAGTCATGAAGAAAGAGGAAAACGATATCCCCAGCTGTGACCTGAGCGGATTCGTAAGGCCCAACCCGGTTATCGTTTCATCTCAGTTGTCCACTTTCTTCCGGTCTTCCCCCGAAAACAGCCCCATCATTCCTGAAACACAGGTAAATAAGAGGCAGCGGGAAACGGTGATCTCTCATATATAAAGACAGTGGGTAAAGGGGAAAAAGGGAAATTTTGTGGAGATGGTTGTTGGATTCATTTCTTGAAGCAAGCAATTAAACAGGCAGTGTAAGCACATGCTAAAATGAAGTAGATGATAAGGCAAGACAGCATTTGCAGATAACGATATACACCTGGTGAGAAAAGGGTGCAATACTGTCATTCTTCAGCATAATAGATTGAAAAAGATTATTCACCGGGTCTTCACCAGTGGTTCCAACAGTACAATCGCTAATCCAAGCTCTTTCATCTGAGCTGGATCACTGACTAGCCGACTGTGATCCAGACTCCATGTCAAATGACAGTGACAGTAGACTGTTGGCTGTGGTTGAATCGGTCAGCCAGCTCTCTCAGATCCCCGCTCTCCTGCTGAATTTTCAAGGGGTTATGTGAGTATGGCCTACAGAAAGCATGACTGTGTTCCCCGAGACGGCTTGTGGGAGATGTTGCAGGAGTGCAAGGTACAGATTATCCAATCCCTCTGCTCTCAGAGTGGGAGCTGTGTCTGTATTCTTGGCGTTGTTGAGTGTGTGGGAATACCCCAGAGGCAGCAGGAAACTGTTGAGGAGGAAAAAGAGCTCTGGTCTTTCCTTGACATGATGCCCCCATGACCCTCAGCAGGGCAAAAGGACCAGAGATGCATAAATGTGTTCTAGGAGGGAATGACTCAATTTTTGTGACAGAACACTCAGGTTATGCACAGGTTGATGCTTAAAAACGGAGTATTTTGCAGTAAATGACAGCAAACTATATCCTCTATTACATTTTTTCAGGGTTAATATATTTCATATAAACCAATAGTCGATTAATGGTAATGCTTTGTTTCTTAGATGATCTAGGTGTATTCACAACTGTGACTACCAAGATAAACAAATGCAAGCAAATATTTACAATCAATGGATTTCTCTTGGCTTTATTTCAGTCTCATTAACACTGGCATTTTATCAATCAAGGGACTGTTTTAATGGCTTATGCATGTTAATCTTGACAGAACTAAAGAGCTGAATAACAACCTGGAAACTCTAGCAGACGTGTGAAAGCTGTTAGACTTAGTAAGTTGAGAAGCAATGTGTGGGTTTATGTTGACAGTGATGGTCCAGTGATTTTACTAATGTATCATGAAGTACTGAACAACAGTCTGTGCAAAGGGAACACCAGCCAAAAAGCTAAAATTACAGCACATTACTCCTCTTCTGTATATAACTTCTCCATCGTTTTTATTTGTAAGAATTGGTCTGATATTGCATTATGCGGTATGTGAACAGCATATATTTGTCATACATGTTGTTGCAGCAATGTGACAGTACACCATGGTGAAGCAGAGAGGTTTCAGAACCCTAAGCCCTAAATTTAACAAGAACTCATAGATCAAAGGTTTAGCATCCATCTTTACTGGACTTCCAGCTGATGTCCACAGTGGTCCTCTTGTCCCGGTACAAGCATTAAGACTGCAGTAGTAGTTGGGATTGAATGTTCACTTTCTTACAGCGAATATGAGATGGATTATGTCCTCCCATTTATTGTTTTTCCTTTTGAAATATGTTCCTCTACAACTAGCCATCTAGCACACCATTGCCAAGTGTATACTGTGTCCTAAGTGATTTCTTCACCATTATGATTAAGGCACAGGCTGACATGGCTTGAACATTTCTCATGGGAGTGGGGGAAAGAAAAGTTATTTTAAGAAATCCCTCTTGGGTCTCATGAAATATGTTGTTTTGGAATTTGTTTTCTTTAGAAGCTTTGTAGAGGACTTACAGTGTGTGCAGAACCAATGCATGTTTTGTATCCACATAACCAAGAAAATTGTTTAGATGAATAACTACATAGAATGATGTTGTCCTGTGTCATAATTGCTACAATAACTTGTTTCTGAGAAAGAGGTTAAGTTATGTGGTTGCTATTTAGCCATAAAGAGGAGCATGAAGTATAAATAACACCTTCAAAAACCTTGTACTACATTCTGAAAAGACACACCCATACATAGTCTTTTTATATATAAAAGAAAGTTTCAGTATTGAACAGAGAATCTTTGCTTTGTAAAATATATATTTCTATATATTTAACTCTGTGGCTGAATGGAATAGTGCAGTTTCCATTACTAATATACTTGGATACTGTATGTAGTTTACAAACGATCTTAAAGTTCCTTGGAAGACAGGCCCAGTAGATGCTATTAGATGCTACAAAATAGTCTGGTATTTTAATTTCATCAGTACATTTCTTCTCTTGTCTGCTGTTTTTTTTTTTGCTAAAAACTAAATGCTCCACTGACTCCAGATACGCTGGATCATCCAGGGGAATATTTGCAATTAATTCTCATTTCTTTATTACCTGAACAAAAAAGGCCTGAGTTAAATGTTTCCTTTACATTAAGCTATTTTTTAGACCTCATTAGTTCCTTTTCTCATTTAAGAGAGAAGGGGGCTTATGACATGTAACACTATAAGGTGATTTTTGCACTGTAATGTGAGAAAATAACCGTTCATAGCTTTAAACGACCAATTTATGTCATCTGTAAAACAGTGAAAATTAGTCTAGCAGACAAAAAAGGTTGTGACATTTTATTGTTTTGTGAAGAAAAATGGTAATTAACATCGGAGTCCCACAGTATACCAATTATTAATGTGTGGAAAGACAGAAATTGAAAAAAGGAGCATGGTAGACAGAAAGGAAATTAATTTAGGAGATCCAAATTGCTGCTTTGGTCCTGTACTGGTCCTAAAGTGGTGCAGTCATTGTGGTTCCGTGTTGCTCATGCTGGTGTTCCGATTTAATTTTAAGGTTCTTCAAGAGGAGACTTCAATCCCGGGCAGCGACCTCAATCTCTTCTACTTGAGCTCTCGAGCTGCAGGCTACAAGCCTGTTCTCAAGGTGACCATGACCCAGGCCAGTATCCCCTTCAACCTCATGAAGGTCCATCTGATGGTGGCTGTGGTGGGCAGGCTCTTCCAAAAGTGGTTTCCAGCCTCCCCCAGCCTCTCTTACACGTTCATATGGGACAAAACGGATGCTTACAATCAAAAGGTCTACGGCCTGTCAGAGGCAGTGGGTGAGTGGTGCATCTTGTTTTTAAGAGCTGCAAAGTCAAAATACTGAAGCCAGGACAAATATAGGAGATAATCCCATGAAAAACCATCATATTGTGTGAGATGTGCTGGGGAAGAAATATCTGTTCTCAGTGCATTCATACATTGTGTGTGTATCTCTTGCTGAGGAGTTTTTGAATCTCCTTGGGTTGTGACAGCAAGCTGCCACTTATCACCATAAATATGATGATGATTGTGAGGTGCATAGATTCGTAGAAAAGTAGAAGTATGTCGCTATTATTTGCATTGTGAAGAGTCTGGTACTTATAGTATCAAATTTAAAGTATTATTAAAAAAACTGGAATTACATACTGGAATGGAAAAAGCCCTTGATTAATTTGCTAATTGCTAATTTACCTTTTGTGTGTTTAATTGCCCACTACAAAGCCCTGTGCAGATAAATCACTTGATAGTATATTGGTTTGAAGGGCTCTTTACTTATCCTAGCTCCTTTGTGTAGCTCAGTACAGGCAAATCTTTTCATGCGTTTGTTAAGAGCTACAAATTAAGTACATCAAAATAAGGCTAACCTTTTTCGTTTGCATGCCCAGGTTTCACTGGGTTAGAGTTAAGCCAGGTGATCATGACTGGTGATGTGACATAAGTGCAGACCTTTTGTAAGGGAGAGGTCTTAAAACATAGGTAGCGAAATAAATAGCTTTTAGTCTTAGTCATATGCAACTTGTTTGTGAGTCTGTGTTTTTTGTTTTTTTATTTTTTCTAGTATGTAAAATCCTCTTTTATCATTAAAATGTCCTTACTTTTTAGAAAGGTACCTCTGGATGCACTGTTATAGAATGAATATTCTCCTTACCTTCCATCTTGCTCTATTTCCAAAATATGTACATTAGTAGTTGAAGTAGATGAAAGTGTATGGGGTTAGTGATTTGGAAGGTTTGCAGTGTCATTCCTGTAATGATATCGGATGAAGACTTATGAATTTTAAAGGATTAGGAAAGAGAATGTAGCATTAGATCATTGCTAAAATTGGCAAACTTTTGGAAAGTTGAATGAGAACTCCTACAAGCATTTGATTTAGGGGGCAATTAGTCTTTTCCAAACTGTAGAACAAAAGCAGGTTATGCCAAGTCTTAAAGCCAGGGCTCCTGCTTTTTTTAAAATATTTTTGGCTTTCTTGTAATTTCAGTGTCTGTGGGCTTTGAATATGAATCCTGCCTCGATCTGATCCTTTGGGAAAAAAGGACGGCAATTTTGCAAGGATACGAACTGGATGCTTCAAATATGGGAGGCTGGTCATTAGACAAGCATCATGTGCTGGATGTGCAGAATGGTAAGGAGTTACCTTGTAAACAGGTTATAGCATTATGGTATTTTTATTCAAAGGCCTCTGTGAATTTGTCTTAAAAAATGCTGTATTCCAAATAATGAGAAAATGGAGTACAAGATGAAGCATTTAAGAATTACATTAACATTAAACATTAAAAATCGCATTCATCTCATATCCAAGATCTTTAAAGTTTTATGTTCTCTTCAGGTCTTAAAAAAGATCCCTACTTTTCGTCCTCATTTGGTAACTTAACAAGACCAATGCATCTGAGCCAAAGAGTGATCTCAGAAAAGGATAAAATGCTGCTTTTGAAAAAATACAGAACTGCGCTGCCAGGAATCTCAGTCCTTCATGAGCCAAGGAAATATTAACATTAAAACATTACAAAAATGTTAAGACAGCCAATCTGATCCACCACCCCCCAACTCCCCAAAAAATAAAAATTAAAATAAAATGAATGTCACAATCTACAAGGTGAATTGATCCCAGGATCTAAATTTAGTTAAGGAGTAGAGTTTGACAGGCAGTGACTTTTCAAAGTGACGTGTGTCTAATTGAATAAACGAAGTGATTAGTTGTAATGACAAGCTGGATGAGCCAGAGAAATTCATTCTTAGTGGGGGGAATGTGGACAGTGACAGGTGTTTGCATGGGTGCCCTGAAATGCTGCAATAAATATTCTAATGAAGATGAAATATTGTTCATCATCCCATTTCAAGATAATAGAGGAGAGTTGTGAAGGACCAATCTTTCAAAGTAATGACAGAATAAATCAGGTGCAATAACGCAGTCTGCTGACTTGTAGGATTCATATGATGAAAATTACAGAACTCAGCTATTTAGGGAAGATGACGGTTTGAGACCTGTCATGAAGAACGAGGACTAGGCAGGAACAGATTCTGAATATGTTTGACCCTTCTTGAAGTGAGGTGCTCCTGTTGTAAATATACAGTCTTTGTTTGTGACCTGGAACCAAAGGGACAAAACCAATAAACATATAATTATACATCTGGCTGTCGCGTACAATAATCCTCAACCCGACTATTATGGGGAGAACCAGGCTTTTTTTGAACACGGCTTCGACTTGAGTGACACTAAGCCGCACTACCTCTTGGGCTTAGTGCCAGTTGTCTTTGAGAGTTTGTGACCCTTTAATCTCAGAACTCACTGAAGCTGGTCAGGCCTGCAGCTCAATAGTTAGACTTTTTTTCTCCATAGTACATAGCCTTTTAACCCCTTACTGGTGGTACAAATAGGCTTTAAGGTCTCCTTTGCCTGGTAGAAAGAACCCTTTTCATCTGATGTAATCCCAACATGCGTGATTACTGTACCAGCCTTCTGCCTCAAAGTGGCTGTTTGTACACTATTAGCTTCCCCGTCCATTAAACACAATAACTTCTTCAACCATTACCTGTCCTTTCAATCTCGTAGTGGCAACATGTGCTATTATTCCATCAACAAGAAATGCATGGTGTATTAAAGTGCCATTTCTATCTAACACAGTGACAGCAAGCAGTGTTTCACTATCTGCTAATGTAACACAATGCCTGAAACCTCTTTTAGTCTATCTCTTCCCAACAGCAGCCCATGGATCACACCAGTGGGTAGATTTTAGTACTTTCTTGTAGTGTAACAGCATTTGCTATAATACCTTAAATATGTTTCAGCATGATACTATGGTACAATGTGATTTTAAAATTATGGAGAAAAGAACAGCAGGAAAACGAAGTTAAAATACCAGACTTTTCTAGGACATTGTATACCATCAAAATGTTTTCATTGAAAGCAGCCTTTGGGTCACATAATGTATCCCTTTTAATCTTTATAACTTGCTTATTTAGCTTCACTGCCAAAATAGCATTTGTTCTTCAATTTCTGATCATAGCAGTGTTGTCTTCTTTAGAAGGTCCACAACGATTTCTTTTCTGTGTTGCTTAACCAGCATGAGATTATGTCTCTTAGAAACCATTAAAAAAAAATGTTTGCCAGTGTTGTTAAAACTGTAAAAGTGCTCAGGAAATTGCAATAAAAATCCATCATCAAATTTAAACTGCATTCATGAACATATTTTGGCCCAAAGCATCCTGTTTTCAAAAGATTTTGATCTGGCTTGCTTTCTTTGAATTTAAGTTCAGTTGTTTGGTGAACATAACTTGGCCTCTTATCTGTCTTTGTAAAGAAGTACACTGAAAATATTGGACATGTAACTTGTTCTCTTCCACGCTCATCCCCTAAGCTTTAAAATGTATTTAAATTACAGATGGGAAGTTACATTGCATCAGGCATTGCCAATCTGAAGTGTCTGGTTGCTTTAGGCAATGTTTTTATCTGGTTTAACTAATGAACAGTAATAATTCCTGTTTTTATGAATGATAGCAACCCAGAATGATCAATTCAGAACTCATAATGATAACCTCAGTTGACTTCCATTAGTCATCCTCTCTGGTTTGGACCAGTCAAATATCTGGTGTTTCCTGAAATTTCAAGTTACTTTTTTGCCGCTGTATTTTGATTGGTCTGTAATCCATGCAGACATCTTCAGTTCCTGAAAACACAAATGTTAAATTAATATGCTCTTATGTGTAACGCCCCTCTGTTTAATTAGAATTCAACTGAATGTGGGCTCAATCATTCCAGTAGCTGGGAAAGGACCTGCTTCAGCCATTCTATTTTTCCTTAAAAATTATGTCTTTTTTATTTTTCCTTCCTTCTCGGCATCTTTGATTTTGTTTTGAGTGGTGGATAACAAAACTGCTATTTTTGCTCAAACTTTTTAATGCATATCTTTTAAATACAGGCCGAAGTGCTTGTTCCTGCTTGTGTCTGATAACACTTGCATCTGATTTACCTCGTAGATTACTGCTGAAGTGACTCGAGGGAAAAGAGGTTGTTAGCTTTCACCCCAGCGTACAATGTCTGTCACCAGCTTAATCAACTTAGTATAAGAATTCTCCCACCTGACAAATCAATTTGTTTCACCTGAAGATAAACTAAGTGCTTTCAACATTCTGAACAGTTATTTCTGGCTTACATTTGCTCAGTTGTCAACAAACAAGAAACCTGGGTACAATTCAGTCAGGCATGAGCTTTCTGAACCCTAGGGTGACCTCATCTTTCATTCATTTGATGACTGTGCTATGGTTGTTAAGAGGGAAGAATGCATTGCAAAAAAGCCCCTTTTTTAGGCACACCGATGTTTGTTTATTCCTTTATTCCCATTTCAATGCATAATATTTCATTTTGAGAAATCTACTGTTATTTGATTAATCTCGCTCTAGTTCAGTCCTCAGAATACATGAATAAGAATCAAGTTAAAGTTGCTACTGTACAGAGGTTGGGTGAACTCGAAGGGAATTGAGGTGAATGATAGCAACAATCTTGGCTTGCACATCTTGAATAACACATTTTTGTTGCCGTCTTGCATACAAACATTCCCGGCCGCCGTGCAGTTAGTCGGCCATGAGAAGCTGTTGAAAGTGGTCAGCTAGAAAGAAGAGCAACAAAAACATTAAAACCATTTCTTTACTTTCCTGAGACCCTTTTTTCTTTTCCTCTGTGAGCTCTGGTTCTAGCTTTGAGCTCTGACAGTTTCAGTCTGATCTCACTCGTAATGGTGGTGTTGTTCCTCCCGGGCTTCCAGCGGGTTTAAGATTGCAGCTCCTTTCCGTCCAGCTCCACGACCAGCTTGCCGAGATCAGGTAAACGGCAGCCCGAATTGGCCCGCGGGGCGCAGCTGTCATCATCTGGTATCCCCCCACTGCGACAAATTGTCTGGTGTTGGCAAGAGATTGCAGGCAGAACACTGACAAAATTGCAATCTTTAAGAGAACATCTTTCTCGGATCCAAACAAGGTCTCTTTCCTGTGTATTAACCCAGTCACTACGCTCACTCCTCCCAGTAACCCCGGCTCTCTTACAATCCCTGTGTAGGCATGAAGATTTTTGGAGGGGGTGTTGGAAAAGCAGCGTCAGGCATGCTTTTCAGCAGCCAGATATCTCCCAACCCCCATGAGACGCACCACAGCGTTAAGATGCTGGCAGTGCCTCGTCAACACTGTTTGACTAAACTGCGCTAAAGCCTGCCGGTGTTTGCTTAATGATTCTGAAAAGTATCTTCACCATATCATTTACCCTTCAGTTTGCTTTACTTGTAGGCTAGCTTCAGAAAAAAAGACAAAACACATTCTGAGGTAGTGATCAGCAGGAACGAGCTTATAACTAGCATAATAGCAGGTGTAAATGAAAGTGTGACTTGCCTTGTCCTTGCAGTTGCAGAAGGTGTTGTGGGGGTTCTGTGTTTCCACTTCTTAGTTTTGCTTGCGCACATTTTGAGAACGTCATTGACCCGTCTCAAGGTTGTTAGATCCATATAAACTATGCTATGAATCGTTTGAACTATTTTTTGATCAAAGGCAGTGACAGACATACCTCCCACATACCTTAAGTTCTGGCGCATTGCAGTTCCCGGGCTGCAGCTGCCTTCAGAAGCTGCGTTTCCGGCACATCTCAAAATCATTTGAACTTTCAGTGCACTTCAGTGTTTTGTAAGGCTAACTTTTTTGTATGTTATCAGCACAGCATACTAAGCTGACTTAGTATGGGGCCTGTATGCATGCATTACACAACACATTGCTCTGGACACACAGTGTGCAGAAGAAGGCTTTAGCTCTCTGGGTAACTGGAAAATGTTTACTTGGCAAAGGACAGCTGTACAGATGTAACGGATTACATCAGAAAGAAGAGGGCCCCAGCCATCCTGGCACTCCACAGTGAAATCAATCAGCATTTAAACTCAACGGGGGAAAAGGGAGAGAAAACAAAGAAAGACGAAAAGCAAGTTGTATGGGGGGACAAGGACCAGGGACAACCAAAACGAGACAAATAATCAGGAGCTGATACCTAAATACGAGGATTATCAGAAACAGAGCGGGCTGGATAGCTCATAAAGATTGAGGTTAAATTTTAGACTGGGCAAACACCATGCAGGTGCTGTAGACAAGTGC